TATGCCCTTTACATATTCATGGTCTATTTATTGTCCTTTAATTAAATAGACCATGAATTGTACAATCTATAGCAATGTTATAATTTGTTAATTAACTATTAAATTAGAACTGTATAATTGAAAATGTTTACTAAACATATAAACATTTCAATCTCGGAAATCCTAAACTATTTGTTCAATGAGCCAGGAGAAGAGCTACTGTTGACAAGTGAACAAAACCTATGTAAGCATTTGAGTGTTTGAGTTCAAAATTGAATTTGTATACCTAAGTGCCAATTGAATAGATGTGTTTACATTATTATCAATATGACTACTGCGTATCTCTTATGTTGACACGTTATTATGCTCAAGTAGAAGGTTAAGTACACGGAAGGGATACAAGAAGTTGTAAAATTATATCGCGAGCAATGTAAAATGCCGATGTTCAAAGCAACCGCGGCTATGCGGGCAGGGCAGTAGCACGCTGCTATTAGGCGCGCTAAATGGCACAGGGACTGAGTCTAAAGTTGCCCTCGACGAGTGGCCTTCACATTTCACAACACCCGGACTTAGCGCGCATCCAGCGAAGTCGGGCTCCGCTGCATTGAAATAAAACCTAGTCAAAGAGAGCAATGTCAAAAAGAGCAGCTGAATTTGCAAACATTTTTTTAAATTACTACACATCGAACATTTCATGGCGAACTGTTATAACCATAAATTGTAAGATAGTTACGACGAAACCAAAGAATAGCAATTCAATTTTACCCGCTAAGTTAAAACGTATGTAGCAAAGGTTGAAGTCATTTATTGAAAACAATGGCAATAGAAAAAATACTGTAAATACAATATCAACACTCGTAGTAAATCCTTGCGTATATACATACGTCACTTCAATTGTTACCTTTGATTGACAGCATCATTCCACAAATATATTTCCTTGAACATTTAAAAAATTAATCAAGCATTGGTCACATCTACCCGCAAATCTGAAAAGTGTAATAAACGACGAAATTCTCAGAGTGGAAGAATTTTCCACAATTTTATTTCTTTATTGAATATTATTCTACTGTTTAGAATCGTTTTTTAAATTAAAAGCCTGTATGCTAAATTTCATGTGTTATATTGTCCTTTATTTTATAGAAGCAAAATCAAAAGAAGTTTGCACAATTGAGCGTAATGAAATGGAAGGATGAAGACAATGTACGAAGATAGTAGCTAGTTTGATAGATACACAGCGTAAAACTGCAAGTCCCAGCGTAAACTCTTTTCTTAAGTCACAATAGCTATTCTGGCTATTATTGAGTGGGAGCAAGACTTACGTTTTGCGATTTTGAACTGTCCCACTTACGCAAGAGCTTTATGTGAAGCTCGAAAATACCGTTTTCAAAGAACTTAACGACAAATGTTGCAAGCCTGGGAGAGTTATTTTCATGTTATACACAAACGGTCGATGCCTAATTTAGTATGTGGCTGAGATGTCGCTAACGATTGCGCCTCACTTTGACTGTCAACGTTAAACAGATGGTTCTTTGTAAACGTTGCGTTAAATGAATTAACAATTTTCACTTGTACTAAAAAGCGTAAATAAATCGTTAATAAAACTTTTAATTTCCTTTTAAAATCATAATTATAGGTAATTTTATTATTATACATTTATTTCTTAAAGAAATGTTAATAAAAACTTTAATCATAAATGTTAGGATGACGCGTTTGGTATAATGGCTCATCAACACCAAAGATAAACTAATGAAAATTCTAACTAAGAGTAGTTCACGGTCAATATGTTTGCACAACCGTTTTAAAATTAATAATATTATAATTAAAATATACAATATGTCACTGAGGAATCTCCTGATTTAAAATTATTAATGAACTTGTTATTCAATACTGTGTCAATGTTACAACGTCATTGTTTATGCGTTCAGAAGACAGGGTATTCTGTGATAATGGAAATGCACGCTTTTCGTTAGCATAAAAAATACAAATAAATTCAAGGTCAAAAATGAAACAGAATTGAACAACCAGTAGTGATGCAAACGCTATTGACAATATTGATGATTCATCATTATTATCAGGTACATACATACAAAGACAACATAAAGAAAAATTTCTTTGCTCTGATATCGAACCAGAGGGTCTACTCCCTATTTCCGTGCGAGATCCGTCTGAAGCAATTAGGCTCAATTGATATTGCGGCGGAACGGAATAGAAGCGAATTTGAACGATATTGTACATAGCACAATGCAATTTATTACGGAATTCTCGCGCATGCTCACAACTGAACTGTAGTTTAGTAGCAGTAGAGCTCCTTGTGAAAGAGTTCGTCCAGGGTAGTACTGCCACCTTACCTATTTCTGCCGACAAGCAGTAATGTCAGTATTACTGTGTTCCGGTTTTGAAGGCTAAGGGTGCTGGTGACAGGCACATGGGACTTGTCAACTTATGACTCAGGGTGACGGGCGCAGTAGTAGTGCCCCTCAGATCTTTGCAATTTAAAGCTCTGAGTGGCACTGTAACTGTTACGGACTGGTGTGTAGATCACCATCAGGCGCGACTTGTTCGTCCCGTCACTTGATGTTATAAAAAAAAAGAAGACGTTGGTCTAAATCCAATTAGATCGAAGGAATTTTTCTTTATGCTGTTCGATTTTTGTATATTAAACTAGTGTAGTATTTTCAAAAAAAAAAGTATGAATATTATGGTAGTACAATAACATCATGATAAATAAATATCTTTAATCAGTTTTAAGTCAAAATGACAATAGGAAAAATAAAAACTATAAAAAAGTATTAAACGACCTCCGTGACCGAACGGTTACTATACTAAATCTATGGTTACTATACTGGACTGCCACCCGGGACGTATCCCGGGTTGGATTCCCGGGCCGGGGGAAATATTTGTACGACCTACATTTATTTCTCTCGTGAGTTTGGACGTAATTTGTGGTTGTCTATGTCTGTGTCTCTGGCTTCCGCGATACAGAGTTTCCCTAGTGAAGGCTATGAATGTGTGCGTGTGTGTTATTATTATTATTAAAAAGTAGGAATCCGTAACAAATAGATTTAAAAAAACGGTACTAATATCCGTTTGTGACGTCACAATTGCAATGACGCCACACGAGCTGATGATCGTTTTGCTTAAAGTAACAGAGCATCCTCCCACCAATGACTATAATCATTAAGATAACTACTGTTGTTAGCGGAGTTATTCAAATTTTCTGCACGTTCTTGTGAGTTGTTAAAGCAATAAAACATTTCAGTCAATACGATATAGCCGCTTCGAAAACGGCGTAACATAAAAAAATGCAACTGGTATATACTTCCCGGCTTCCTTCACGAGCGATTGAAGAAGCCGCGTTAGTATTGCGTCACATATTGCACAATACGTCACTGGGCCACATGTCATAAGCGATTATTGTTGGAGTAGGTCACCCGCCAGAATGACTGTTCACATTAGCTTCAGTCCTTGTATTACAATTTCAGTTTTCAGACGTGTTGCAATTCCTCACAAGGTTTACTCGCAATAATAATTAGCCATACTTAGCGTCGGCGGCGCCGTCATCGTCATTTGCGGCTTCACGTAGGAAAGACATCAACGAAAAGCAATACCAATTAACTCTATGTACACTGTACTAAATTGGGCATTTACGCAAATGCTTTTCTCAAGGATTTAGGTATACATATAACTAGTTGTATATCAGTAGATATTTTACTTAATAGACAGACTAAGAATTTCCTAGGGTAAAAAAATCATCGTATACGTGTATCTGTCTATTGTGTCAAAAAATAATACTGTATTGTAGTTGTGTTTCTACATGTACGAGTACTTACGTATTTAAATACTTTAGCCATTTAAAAAATAAACATGACACAACTTATATTTTGGAGTGTTTAGAAAATAAACAGTAAAAAAAAAATTATACGCATTGATGACGAAATGGGTATGTCCATACTAAGAAAACGTTCGTACTTTAGGCAAATTAACTCCCCAATTCCGATCACTATAAACTAGTAACAAACAAAATCAGATTAGTAAAAACTTTAAAACAAGTCATAAATATAAAAATTAATATCTACTATAAACTACCAGTTAGTGGCACCTAACTT